TAAAAAAAAAAAAGCCGGCCGGCCGGGTCTATTTAAAAGTTTCATGTTATGAAAACCAAGTAATTAAATTTGTATGGTCTAATTCATATTGAATCAAAGTTTTAGATCTAATCTTTATATATTTAATATAGATCTTTAAACATGTATAGTAATATATTGTATATATAATTGCTTTTATAATCATAATCATTATAAATATATAATATCTATTCTAGTTTTGCTAAATACTATACTATATATAAATTTTAACATATATAGATTTGAGCAGATAAACAAGTCATTACAATTTAGAATAGAATAAATAAAAGCTATAAATTTAGGAAAAATACCAGATCTACAAGTTTTGTTAAAGCTTAATTTGTAAAAAATAAAATAATACTTGCTAAGATTTCATGATTATTATCTTAACAAGATAAAGAAATTATCATCTGAAAGGAATTAATATATATTTGCAAAGATTGTTTTAATAAATAATATAATGTTTTCTTTGATAAGAGAGATGATACTACTAATACAGCTAGATTGATAATTGTCAAGCTAAAGAAAGCTTTTGCTTTAGATCTCCAAGTAATACAAGATCATGTAATTGTTTCTGCATTAAACCAATTTGATGATTTTTACAAATCTGTAAGTTGGTTATACTATTATATATTTTCTCACACCAATAATCAAAGAATTTTTAAAGAATGCTCTTAAATTAAGATTTGTGATAAAAAAAATTAAGAATTTATAATTTATCGCTATAGCGATATATCACTAGTCTATACGAAGTTTGAAAATTTGCCTACAAATTTTGATTTGTAACACAATTTGAAACTCTGCACATAGGACTATTGGTCTAGCGATACATCGCTACAGCGATAAATTATAAAACCCAAAAAATTATTGCAATATTTGTTGATATGAAAAGATGAAATTAGTTTTTTACTAGTAACTGTAGATCAGACCCCATCAATATTAATAATGTCAACAACATATTCTTCACCAAAAAATTCTTAGATAAAAAAATTTCCGAATATATATGTTTTTATTCTGTATTTTGTTTTTACAGTATTACTACTAATCTTTATAATTTACTATTACTATTATTAAATTTTAAAAATACAAGAGCTTTCTTCAAGTAGATCCTACTAAAAAAAAGTATACATGGCAAATGTTTTGATAATCATCAATTGAGAACTTCATGAAAAATTACTTTACATTATTACCTATTTATTTATTTATAAAGAATTACATTCACAGAAGTACAAACTATTCCCAAATAGAAAGAAAATAGGGTCAAAACTTATAACTATGTTAATAATCTATAGAATTAAAAAAAAAAAAAATTCATCGAATTTGATCAGGTGGTTGTCAAAATACAACTTCTATTCTGATAGATGTTTAATTTTTCTAAAACTTTGAGCGAAGATATCTTAACCATCTGATCAAATTCGATGAAAAAAAATTCGTCGAATTTGATAAGGTGGTTGTCAATATATCTTCACTCAAAGCTTTGGTGCAGCTTTTATTTTAACAGGGTGAAATCAGAGTTTCGCGGGTTTCACCTAATTTAGCTGGTCAACGCGGATTTTACTAATTGGCAGCGCGGGTTTCACCCTGTCGTATTATAATTTGGGGGTGAGTCAATAGAAATCAAGCAAATTTTTTATAATAAAAATTTTTTATAATTTTAAACAATAACTTAACAAAAACTTGACTAAATTTAATAAAAATTTTTTTAAATAATTTTTACAAACTTGTAGAATTAATTTA